CAGTTGGTGGCGCTAGAGGGAATGAGTTAGAGACACCAAAATTGGTGTATTTAAAGTTGGGACTGTCCTCTATCAGAATGTCAAACCAAAACAACTTTCCCGCAAACCGGTCTATGGGCTGCCATAGACGCCCAGTCGGAAGAAGAATAATAATAATAAATATAGCTGCAAGCAGCCATTACCGGGGCCAAGCGCAAGAAGCGGCAACATATGCCAAAATGGCAAGGAGTGGCAGACCAACTGCAGCAAGGAGCAATTAAGGGCATTTTGAGAGAACTTTGGGCAAATGGCTAAGAAAATCACATAAACATTAACTTATAAGATGATTTAATGGGTTATCACTTTCGAACAATAGGTGGCGCAGTTACGAAATAGATGTGATGTGGTCAGAGTGAGGTGACAATGACACATGCAAAGTTTGGTGTCAAAATGTGAAGGCATTGCAGAGATAAAGCCTAAATAGTAATTTTGGCAGCATGCCTAAATTTGATGCTGTGGTATACGAAAACGGTTTTGTCTATCATCGTGCAATTCATAACTTTTAGTCGGCACGGTCTGGAGATGATACGATTCAATTTTCGTGAAAATCGGACAAACGGTCTAGGAGGAGTTCGAAAAAGAAGGTTTTTCAAAGAAATAAAGATGGCGGACAGGAAGTTTGTCTGATTATGGAAAACCTGATATCTATGTTTTCGGCATAACCCAAGGAATCTATTAAGATCAGTTTCATTGCAATAGGCAAATTTATTCAAAAGTTATTAGCGTTCTCAGAAATTAATTATAACTTTTGACCAACAGGTGGCGCTGTCTCAAAATCTTTTGAGTACCTTCAGGGCATGCTGCTTATGGCACACACTGAGTTTTGTAATATTACACCAATGCATTTGTTAGTATAGCATTTTATTTTACAAAACTCTACTGAAGTCAATGGGAATTTCACGTTTTGTTCTATTATAGCGCCACCAAGAGGCTCAGTCCCACAATTTTTTTTATGTGTCCTCAGAGGGACCCCATACATATGTGTGTCAATTTTGGTGCAAATATCTCAATTTACTTCCGAGTTATAAACATTTATATGAAAAAACACGTAAAAAATGACTGACACATGACTTTGTTTGAATTTTACTACCCCTTACTATCAATATTTTCGCATTTGGGCTTTAACGTATAGTTAACAAGCTATGATTCCGTGTTTCTGGCGGTGGTTTCGTCTCGATCGGAACAGCGGTTTTGAAGATATCGCCAAGTGTTTTTTTCGCGCTAAATCGCTACGCTACACCAACCGTAAGACGAAACCCAGCATGTTTAGTATCGTTGGACTCGGCAACGATTCAGGAACTCAAAAAGATGACTCCCGTGAAAATAAGTGTACCACACCCAAAGTTATAAGCGTTTGAAAAAAAAAATTCACCACTAGGTGGCGCTGTTTCGAAACTTCTCAGGCTTCTTCAGGGCATCGTACTGATGACCCATACCGAGTTTCGTAACAATTCGTTCATGCGTTCAAAAAATACAGCATTTTAGCACATAATTCAAAATGGCCGACAGCCAAAATGGCCGATCTGGGAAAATTGGATATCAGTCGACTCGGCATGATGCCCTGAATCTAACGAGATGAAGTTTATGATTTTTTGACAAACCGTTCAGAAGTTACGAGCAAAAATAGCCATTTTTCATATCTCCGGACCACTAGGTGGCACTGCGCCGAAACGCAGCACGTAGCCTCAGGTCATGCTTGTGATGACACGTACCAAGTTTGGTCTGAAAACGAGTAAGCGTTGCGGAGATACAGCCTCACGTCTGTTTTCGCAAGCGCTACGTAAATTTTGTTTACGTGTTTATCGAAAACGGTTATTCGAATCATCTTGAATTCCATAACTTTTTGTCAGCACTGCCTGGAGATGATCCGGTGCGATTTTGGTGAAAATCGGACAAACCGTCTAGGACGAGTTCGCAAAAGTAGGTTTTTTGGAAAATTCAAAATGGCGGCCGTTTTTTTATGACGGAAAATGACGTCATAGGGTGCGATCGAATCGGCATGAGCTCAGGAACAAGAGGAAAAAAGAATTTTGTTGATAGGCCTTACGGTTCAAAAGTTATTAGCATAATAAAAGTGAAACTTTGGACAGTTGGTGGCGCTAGAGGGAATGAGTTAGAGACACCAAAATTGGTGTATTTAAAGTTGGGACTGTCCTCTATCAGAATGTCAAACCAAAACAACTTTCCCGCAAACCGGTCTATGGGCTGCCATAGACGCCCAGTCGGAAGAAGAATAATAATAATAATATAGCTGCAAGCAGCCATTACCGGGGCCAAGCGCAAGAAGCGGCAACATATGCCAAAATGGCAAGGAGTGGCAGACCAACTGCAGCAAGGAGCAATTAAGGGCATTTTGAGAGAACTTTGGGCAAATGGCTAAGAAAATCACATAAACATTAACTTATAAGATGATTTAATGGGTTATCACTTTCGAACAATAGGTGGCGCAGTTACGAAATAGATGTGATGTGGTCAGAGTGAGGTGACAATGACACATGCAAAGTTTGGTGTCAAAATGTGAAGGCATTGCAGAGATAAAGCCTAAATAGTAATTTTGGCAGCATGCCTAAACTTTGATGCTGTGGTATACGAAAACGGTTTTGTCTATCATCGTGCAATTCATAACTTTTAGTCGGCACGGTCTGGAGATGATACGATTCAATTTTCGTGAAAATCGGACAAACGGTCTAGGAGGAGTTCGAAAAAGAAGGTTTTTCAAAGAAATAAAGATGGCGAACAGGAAGTTTGTCTGATTATGGAAAACCTGATATCTATGTTTTCGGCATAACCGAAGGAATCTATTAAGATCAGTTTCATTGCAATAGGCAAATTTATTCAAAAGTTATTAGCGTTCTCAGAAATTAATTATAACTTTTGACCAACAGGTGGCGCTGTCTCAAAATCTTTTGAGTACCTTCAGGGCATGCTGCTTATGGCACACACTGAGTTTTGTAATATTACACCAATGCATTTGTTTAGTATAGCATTTTATTTCACAAAACTCTATTGAAGTCAATGGGAATTTCACGTTTTGTTCTATTATAGCGCCACCAAGAGGCTCAGTCCCACAATTTTTTTTATGTGTCCTCAGAGTGACCCCATACATATGTGTGTCAATTTTGGTGCAAATATCTCAATTCACTTCCGAGTTATAAACATTTATATGAAAAAACACGTAAAAAATGACTGACACATGACTTTGTTTGAATTTTACTACCCCTTACTATCAATATTTTCGCATTTGGGCATTAGCGTATAGTTAACAAGCTATGATTCCGTGTTTCTGGCGGTGGTTTCGTCTCGATCGGAACAGCGGTTTTGAAGATATCGCCAAGTGTTTTTTTCGCGCTAAATCGCTACGCTACACCAACCGTAAGACGAAACCCAGCATGTTTAGTATCGTTGGACTCGGCAACGATTCAGGAACTCAAAAAGATGACTCCCGTGAAAATAAGTGTACCACACCCAAAGTTATAAGCGTTTGAAAAAAACAATTCACCACTAGGTGGCGCTGTTTCGAAACTTCTCAGGCTCCTTCAGGGCATCGTACTGATGACCCATACCGAGTTTCGTAACAATTCGTTCATGCGTTCAAAAAATACAGCATTTTAGCACATAATTCAAAATGGCCGACAGCCAAAATGGCCGATCTGGGAAAATTGGATATCGGTCGACTCGGCATGATGCCCTGAATCTAACGAGATGAAGTTTATGATTTTTGGACAAACCGTTCAGAAGTTACGAGCAAAAATAGCCATTTTTCATATCTCCGGACCACTAGGTGGCGCTGCGCCGAAACGCAGCACGTAGCCTCAGGTCATGCTTGTGATGACACGTACCAAGTTTGGTCTGAAAACGAGTAAGCGTTGCGGAGATACAGCCTCACGTCTGTTTTCGCAAGCGTTACGTAAAATTAGTTTGCGCGTTTATCGAAAACGGTTATTCGAATCATCTTGAATTCCATAACTTTTTGTCAGCACTGCCTGGAGATGATCCGGTGCGATTTTGGTGAAAATCGGACAAACCGTCTAGGACGAGTTCGCAAAAGTAGGTTTTTTGGAAAATTCAAAATGGCGGCCATTTTTTTATGACGGAAAATGACGTCATAGGGTGCGATCGAATCGGCATGAGCTCAGGAACAAGAAGAAAAAAGAATTTTGTTGATAGGCCTTACAGTTCAAAAGTTATTAGCATAATAAAAGTGAAACTTTGGACAGTTGGTGGCGCTAGAGGGAATGAGTTAGAGACACCAAAATTGGTGTATTTAAAGTTGGGACTGTCCTCTATCAGAATGTCAAACCAAAACAACTTTCCCGCAAACCGGTCTATGGGCTGCCATAGACGCCCAGTCGGAAGAAGAATAATAATAATAATAATAATAAGAACCGGCACAGATACAATAGGTGCCTCCGCACCTTCGGTGCTTGGCCCCTAATAAGAACCAGCACGGATACAATAGGTGCCTCCGCACCTTCGGTGCTTGGCCCCTAATAAGAACCGGCACAGATACAATAGGTGCCTCCGCACCTTCGGTGCTTGGCCCCTAATAATAATAATAATAAGAACCGGCACAGATACAATAGGTGCCTCCGCACCTTCGGTGCTTGGCCCCTAAATATGCATATGAATAGAGTGAGTGTAATCTCAAAATGTGTCATACCCTGATCAGCCAATCAAAACACAAACCATATTTATTCTTATTTATTGTAATATTTTCATGGTTTTTGTAGATAGATAGCATGTCACACAACCTGTCCGAGGTTGTCTTTTGCATACTTAAATACAAACACAATTGTTGAATGTTACAGTGTACTAGTATAGAGAATTGTGTGGTAAGGGGATTGAGTACTCTATAAAACGCAGTACTTCTAGTTCAGCACTTGCTTTAATCAAACCAGTGAATATTATATGAGTTATTAAGCTCATTAAGTTGGAGTCAGAGTCTGTTTCTCTCTTTTCCGAAGCCTGTAGATCTGTGTAGCCCAACAAGAACACTGGTGATCTCTGAGGAAATGATCCTACATGAGAGCAGGCACTTCTCGATCAAGGTAAGAGATGCTCTACATAGTGTGCATGTGGATTTAGGGCATTTCACACTTGAAATTGTTCTAAAAGTAGTACAGTTTTATAACTTCCTTAATGTGGGGTCAAGTGCTTTTTCCTGGAATAAATACTCATAGATAATTTAAGATTTATCTCTTTTTTCCCACCTCGACAATGTCTAGTGTAAACTGCTGGAACTTTCTTTTGTCCCTACTTGAGTGAGAGTGTCACGAACTGCTCCGAGACAAGAAGATTGAGGATCCAAATGCAGTATTTATTTAAAGTAGCCGTGTCCCGCCGGACTCTTGTACAGAGAGTCTGGCCTCGCTCCATTCACTGGTGTTAACTTCCTTGTAGGCGGGTCCTCTGTTGAAGTCTAAAACTGTTGGATCTGCCCAGAGCCACAGAACGTAACAATATGTTCAACAACCGACATAATAAAACAATGCCAGATTCATGAGAATACTGAACACTCTTTTAGTGCCACTCACTGGACATTTAACCCTTCCGTTAAGAGTCACGTCCTGGGCCTTCCCAGTCAGAAGTGACCGGAGGCCTAAAAATGAAACTTCTTCCATCCCAGTAAAACCAATGCAATTTATTTTTGTTCTATAATATTTATTCTTTTTAATTTAGTATTTTGAGACAATTTGATTACATTTATTAATATTTATGCAATAATTATGGTCTATTTTTTCAATGGAAATATATATATATATATATATATTATTTTTTTTTATTATTAATGCAGTATTTTTGTTTAATATAGAGTCTAGGCCTTCAGGAAAAAATTTTTTTTGAAGAAAATTAGCACCATCTGGTTACAGTGTAGAGAAAAAGCGTAGAATCATGGTGTAACCACTAGATGGCATGTACAGCTCTCTATGGAGAGGCATGTGAATTCCCCAGATGTTAATGAACACATTTTTTTTTGTTGGTGGATTTGAATATATAATTGAAACAATCTCAAAAACTATTTCTTATTAAAAAATTTGTAAAAAAAAATAGATAATTTTTTTGTGTGTTTTTGTTAATTTCCCATTCATTTCCTATGGGGGTCATTTTTGACCAAAGACCAAAATCGTGACTAATTTTTTTACGACAACTTAGCATGCTCGGATCATGACCTCAATTTTTTTCTATGTTCACGTCCCTAATGCCATAAATGTCACCAAGTTTCGTAACATTCAGATGAAGCTGTGATTTTTAAAAATTCAAAACAGATTTTTTGTAATCTGAATTTATTGGTGTGTATGTGTATAAAAGTGTGTTTGTATGTGTGTGTGTGTGGGTGGGTGTAAATTTTTTGCACTCTAGATGTTGTAGAGTGTCACCCCTTTACTGCGGTATACTTCTTTTAAGAATTGTGGCCGATTTGTAGATTGTACAAGTTTTTTTGTAAATTTCCCATTCATTTCCTATAGGTTGGTCATTTCTGACCGAAGACCACGAGTGTGACTATTTTTTTTACGACCACTTAGCATGCTCGGATCATGACCTCAATTTTTTTTTGTATTCACATACCAAATGCCAAAAAAGTCACCAAGAATCATAACCTTCCGATGAAGCTGTGATTTTTAATAATTCAAACAAGAAAATTATTCGGTCAGAAGTGACCGAGGACCATCAGAGGGTTAATGTTGAAACTGCCGAGAAACGTGCAAAACGCGAGGTAACGTCATTGTGAAAAGTTTTTCTAATGATCCTGGGTTGGTGCAAAGATATCCATCTTGGGATAAATGTGGACCCAATCAGACCCAACTATTTTTGGGCTAAATAAAGACGGGCTGTGACGGGCCGACCTGATTTATTTTTGCACACTGCAATCATGTTTTAATAAAGCTGCTATCCAGTTCAATAACTTTTCTTTTAAAACATCTGCATTTGATCCTTTTCTGCTGAACTCTCTCACCCTCGCTCTCTCTTTTTAGGTAACAATCTTTATTTACTCCGATCTGATGTTGGTGACCAGAGAGGATGAATCGGGACGATGTAATGTCCTGCAAAACCCACTGTACCTCAGACAGCTGCAGCTGCGGGATGGTGAGTGACAATACTTAAAGGAGTAGTTCACTTTTGAAAAAAACTTTTGCTAATAATTTACTCGCCCCCATGTCATCCAAGATGTCCACGTCTTTCTTTCCTCAGTCGAAAAGAAATTAAGGTTTTTGATGAAAACATTCCAGGATTTTCTCCATATAATGGACTTCAATGGGGACCAAACGGTCCAAGGTCCAAAAGACAGTTTCAGTGCAGCTTCAAATGTCTTTAAACGACACCAGACGATGAATAAGGGTCTTATCAAGCGAAACGATCGGTTATTTCAAAACTTATTCCAAAAATTTAACTTTTCTAAGGACAAATGCTAGCCTAGCTCTCGCTCTCGCTCACGTAATACGTAATTACGTTCAAAAGGTCACGGGCGACATAGCCGGAAGTAAGCAATAATCATCAAAATTATAACAAATAAAGGCTTGCTTTGCATGCAATGAGTCTATATAATATATAAGTTTCACCTTTTAAGTTAACTACTGAAATAAATGAACTTTTGCACAATATTGTAATTTTTGGAGTTTCACCTGTAAGTATTTTAAAAACTGCATGTAATTGTCCTAGTCTGTGCCACCACAGTAACGTTAATAAAACTTTAGCTCATCAATGAACATTATTTCTCGTCGGACTGCTGGAGGTGAACACTACAACTCCCATGATCCCATGCACCCTCACCCACAGCGTCATAAAACGACCTCTAGCCGTGAAACTTGCATACTGTGCCTTTAAAGGCTTAGAAAAAAACAAGTAGAAAGATACAGCTCATTTAACTCACGACATGCCATATTTTATTCGTATTCAATAATATGAATAAACATGCCATATTTCATCAATTCAATAATAGATCGGATTAATTGGGAAATAAACGGAAGAAATAGACAATGATTGTTTGCTCAGGTTGTTGCCGTGTCTTTGCTCAGGAGATTTAGCAGAGATATGAATGTTTGCGTAGATGTCCTGAATAATTTAGTGAGATGAACGCGTGTGACAGGATAACCATCTCAGCGTAGCTAAAGATCCTGCAGGTGTCTGTACTGTACAGGACTGTCTCCTCTGATAACTGCTCAAATAATGGCCAGAGAATATGAAATATTTCATCAGCCATCTTAGATTGGTTTCTCACCTCCTTTATATATGAATATAGCAGTTTAGCTGCAAACCTGTTATGTTGAAAAACTCACTCTTGCCTTTCTCAAAGCATTTTATGACCTTTTTCCTCAGATCACAGTGAAGATCTGCACTTCTACTTGATCCACATGACAGAGGTGAGTCACAGAGAGGTTATGAAACAAAAATACATACTGCAAAATATAATGCGATACATTACATAATACATTTCCACATGGGAAACTAGTGTTTTAAATAACAGTAAGTGTATTACTGAATAATACATTTCATACATTATGATGTATTATTAATACAATAATTATATATTACACATATTTTTACACATAATATATTAACACAATATATTATTCTGCATATTTTCAAATATACTGTTAAACCATTTAATGTATTGATCATTCATATACCGGTTTTTGGAAATATATTTTCTTTTCATAAGGGTGGTGTTCAAAATATACAGCTAATTACATTTTTTTTTTATAGGGGATAAACAAACTTTTTTTTGTCCTAGACTACATTTCTGCAAAACTACATTCAGTTTCTACATGAAATTAACACTAGTGGCAGTAACTTATTATTTTTTAGATACACAAATTATGATTACAAGGGTATACTATGGTGTGACCTGAAAATATACTTTTAGCATTGCGCATGATTCATCAACTAATGCATTTTAATGTTTGTATTGTTTGTAAGCATTGTGAAACTGTGAAAGACGAGTCACGATAAAAGAACTCAAGGACTTTGCTTGGCATGGTTACTTCAGCAAATGTGTTTTTATCGCACATTTGCTTTTGTTGACACTATTACTTGGATTTAGTGTAGAGTTTAGTGTAGAGTTTAGTGTAGGGTTAGGGTTAGGACTGCAGAGATTGGTACTATAACTAACACTAACCCTCTGATGGTCTTCATTTAGGAGTCACGTCCTGAGCCTTCCCGGTCAGAAGTGACCGGACACCTAAAAATGAAAATTCCTCCATCCCTGTAAAAACCAATGCAATTTACTTTTGTTCTATAATATTTATTCTTTTTAATTTAGTATTTTGAGACAATTTGATTGAATTTATTATATTTATGGTCTATTTTTGCCATGGAAATATATAAATATATATACTGTATATATATATATATATATATATATTTTTTTTTTTTTTATTATAATGCAGTATTTTAGTTTAATATAGAGTCTAGGCCTTCAGAATTTTTTTTTTTTTTTAAAGAAAAATTGCACCATCTGGTTACAGTATAGAGAAAAGGTGTAGAATCATATACATATACTATGGAGAGGCATGTTTATTCCCCAGCTGTTTATGAACACATTTATTTTTTTGTGAATTTGAATATATATTTGAAACAATCTCAAAAACGATTTCTTATTAAGTTTTAGATTTTTTTTTAGAAATAGTGATAAAAAGTGTTAGTTTTTGCATTATAATTACAGCTAAACATTGGATTAGAAAGAGAAGCTTGTGTTGCTAAAAGCAAATTTTATACACATTTTTTTTTCAGAATTTGTATCAAAATTCAATTCCTTCAATTATAACACTTTATATAGAATAATATAAAAAAAAATTGGTGAATTTTTGTCAATTTCCCATTCATTTCCTATGGGGGTCATTTTTGACCGAATTTTTTTAAGGCCACTTAGCATGCTCGGATCATGAACTCATTTTTTTTTTGTGTTCACATCCCTAATGCCAGAATTGTCACCAAGTTTCGTAACATTCAGATGAAGCTGTGATTTTTAAAAATCCAAAACAGATTTTTTGTAATCTGAATTTATTGGTGTGTATGTGTATAAAAGTGTGTGTGTGTGTGTGTGTGGGTGGGTGTGAATTTTTTGCACTCTTGATTTTGTAGAGTGTCACCCCTTTACTGCGGTATACTTTTTTTTTAGAATTGTGGCAAAAATTCATCGAATTTTAAATTCATAGAATTTTTGTGTTTTTGTCAATTTCCCATTCATTTCCCATGGGTCGGTCATTTCTGACCGAAGACCACGAGTGTGACTATTTTTTCACGACCACTTAGCATGCTCGGATCATGACTTCATTTTTTTTATATTCACATACCAAATGCCAGAAGAGTCACCAAGTATCATAACCTTCCGATGAAGCTGTGATTTTTAATAATTCAAAACAGAAAATTATTCGGTCAGAAGTGACCGAGGACCATCAGAGGGTTAAAAACATTGCCAGATTCACATTCATCTGTTTTTGTTTAAAATGAAAGCACCTTTTGTCCACACTAATCTTACGTTCACAGTGTCATGAAACCTGCAAGAAGCAAAAGAGGCCTAATATAGTTTGCAGAAATGTCGCCACATGCATGTTTTTCTAATGAGCCGGCTTGCAGATGTTTTGCATAACTTTTTAAAAACAAATTAACTGTGTTAGCTGTGTTAAATTGCATGCATGGCATTAATCTTACTTCTCTATTAATCTCTGCAAAACTTAAATAAATAAAAACATTTACAAATGTAAACAAATAGTATGTGCTAGAGCCACACTTTTCACACTTTGGAAATGCAAAGTTGCATTCAACATTTATGGTGTACAGTGCAAATGTTTAAACATTGTAGCTCAGAATTGATCAAATATGCTAAATTAATGCAATTGCAAACAGAATCAATGCATTGCACGTGTTTTCTATGCCTCTAATTGCACAACTTTAAAAAATAATAGCATCCATTGAGACTTAATGATTGCTAGTTATGTAATTACTAGTTTTTCTAGTAATTCCAGGGACAGGGTTGAGGAGCGCTGATCTGTTAGATCGATCAGGGAATGTGTTTCTGGAAGTCGCAAGTTTCGTCGTTACCAACACAATTCAACAGGTTTTGCATCATCAGGTACGATGCTTTTGGGAAACGGACCTGTTGTGATGTGATGGATATTTATCAGGTTCCGTCCCTGAGAAATATAATGCAGGACTTTAATTAGATTTGTCTCTCGACACTCGTAATGGGAGCTGGAGATGTCACTGACCAGAGAGAGAGAGAAACTCGCCCAACTAAGAGAAAAACAATCCCATTAGAGGAATAGCTCATGTGTCTGCATGCTTTTCACTCACTCCCGTCCTCCTTATGTCCGGGTATATGCCATCTCTCTTTCTTTGGACAGGTATGATGACATTGAGGCTGTGCAGTGAGGGGCTGACTAGCAGATTCATATGTAGGAACAGGTTTTTTTCGGTCCATGTTTAACCCTCTGATGGTCCTCGGTCACTTCTGACCGAATATTTTCTGTTTTGAATTATTAAAAATCACAGCTTCATCGGAAGGTTATGATACTTGGTGACTTTTTTGGCATTTGGTATGTGAATACAAAAAAAAATTGAGGTCATGATCCGAGCATGCTAAGTGGTCGTAAAAAAAATAGTCACACTCGTGGTCTTCGGTCAAAAATGACCGACCCATAGGAAATGAATGGGAAATTGACAAAAACACAAAAATTCACATTTTTTTTTTTTTTTTTTTTTACAATTTTTTAAAAATAAGAAATAGTTTTTGAGATTGTTTCAATTATATATTCAAATCCACCAAAAAAAAAAAATGTGTTCATAAACAGCTGGGGAATTCACGTGCCTCTCCATAGAGAGCTGTACATGCCATCTAGTGGTTACACGCTTTTTCTCTACACTGTAACCAGATGGTGCTAATTTTCTTCAAAAAATATTTTTTTTCTGAAGGCCTAGACTCTATATTAAACTAAAATACTGCATTAATAATAATAAAAAAAAAAAAAATAAATATATATATATATATATTATGAAGAGTTCAGA